GTTCCACAAGAGGAAGAAACTATCAGAACAGAACCTACAATTACATCTAACCATTTTAACAGTGAAATGATGAAACCTAGAAATGTAGTTTTTTTTTTTTTTTGGTAAGTGTAGTTTTATTTATAACAAAGACAAATTAAATAATACGACAGAACAATTTGTGTTTTGAATAGCAAAAAAAAAAAAAAAAAAAAGTTACATTTCTTTACAGTAGTGCGCAGTGATTTTCTGAAAGGAAAGCCTGTAAAAGAAGTAAATAGGCCAAATTTTCTGATTACGCCTGCATAGGTACTACGCAGTGAATTAGTAAACATGATGGCAGTAATGGGGGACAAATGACCAACAAGAAGTCCAATTTTTTTCTTGTCGATAACTCCCAAATTATGAAGGTTTCATAATTTAATTGTTAATTCAACATGTACATTTGCACGGAATTATGACAATTTTGGAAAAATTTTAAGGGATATTAGCGCTCGGGAAACAAAACCAAAATTTACCAGAATTTTTTTTATAATTTAATTTAAATTTTTAATCCTTTCTAGTGTGTTCGAAATTTATTAAAAAATCTTATTTTTCTTGATTTTTTTTTTTTAGCAGTTAAAAAGAAAAAGAAAATAAAAGTGTAGTTTGGGAAATTCTGGCAAAAATCAAATAATTGTTGGATTTTAATTAAATTTTCAGGAATTATTCACAAATGAATGAAATTAGAAATGCTTTTTAAATAATTTTTTATTCCATCTGTTTCCCCTCACACAATTTTATGTAATTTGGAGAAATTAAAATTTCAGCCTCTTCATATTCAATAAAAATAAAAGTCTTTGGAAAATTTAAATAATCAATTTGTTTTTGTAAAACAGAAAAACCATTCACTGAAAATCTGCTCAGAATCATAGAATAAATAATACAATACACTATGACATTAATTAAAAAAAGATTTTAATTGCTTTTATAAATAAGATTTATTAAGGACACTATTGTTTTAAGGAAAAATAATTTTCTGTGAATAATGAATTTTATATTTGTTTTCATTTTTTTTTTTTAAATTTAATTAGAAAAATTTATTAAGTTTGAAATCTTAAAATTCTGTATAAATTTCAGTCTTTTAGATGATATTAAGTGAAAATTATATTTACTAATCATAAATAGAAAAGCTTAACACCAATATTTAAAAAAATTTTTTTGTACGTGTATAAACATGCCGACTTTTCTAAGCATGGGTGAGCATACACATATTTATCAGAAAATAAGAGTGATAAATTTAAAGCCAAAATTTCCAAACTTCAATAAACATTAGATGACGGAGAATATTTTCATAAATTTTTTAAGGTTACTGAGTGCTTAAAAATTAAATAAAAAAAAAAGGCGTTAATGTCATTTTCTTCAATTATGATTTACAGATAAAGTCCCCATAGATCTGTCATTATGTCAATACAACTACCATTGGGTTAAAAAATGTATTTCTGCAATATTTTAAACTTAAAGTACATAATATGTTTCAAATCAGATTAATTATACTTTAAATCAGCTAATATTCCCCATATAAAGTTTCAAGAAAGTAGAATTTATTTCTGGAAGATTTTTTAATAAAGAGAATTACATTGCAATGAAAGACAACTAAAAGAAAAAAAAGTGGGGGAGGGGCACTAATCAACTATTTAAAAAAAATAAAAAAAAATAAAAAAAATAAAAATTTCTTTCCAGTCAATTTAAATTAGTTTTTGAAATATAGCAAAGTATTTTGCTTATTGGAAATATTAAATTTAATCAATTAACTTGAAATTAAAACTAAAATAAAAGCTTAAAGATTTGCAACTTTAAAAAATCACTTTAAACCTTAGGTATCTTTTCTTTTTAAAAATGGAGGTCCCAAGTGTAATGTATATTCATAGGTTGGAGATACATTGTGGTAAGCTAAGGCAAAGAAGGCAATTTTTTTTTCTCTCAACACAGTGGGAGAAAATGATATCACTCAAGTCCTGTAAACTCCAGTGAGGAACACTCACAACATTATACAGTGCTGTTGTAAGATTTTATGAGACAAAGTTGCTCAGCCCATTCCCAACCAGTTTTGTGCTCAGTTATTTTTCCTTGCATTGCCCAATGTTTCCAAGCAAGCGCTCATCTAAGTACTTCCATCTGGACTTTGAACCAACTCTGGTTTCTGGGTTTGGATCAGAGTCCAACTGGAATCTTTTTCAGTTGTGCTGGTCAAACTACCTCCAGGCAGAGAGGATCCCAAGACAAGGCTATGTCAAAAGCCAGAGTCTTGTCTCAGGAAACAACTATCCAACCCCATTTTATTCAGGAATTTTTAGCTGAGCCTATGGGCTCGGATTCCTCCCACTTTAAAACTCGCCCTTGTGCCACATCTTACCTTGTGGGGAGGTTGGTAAATATACTCATCTAAGTACTTATTGACCAGGCTTGATACTGAAATTTATGAATCATATTCTTAATATGGTTTTATATATGTATCAAAAAATACTTTCACAAACTTTGGGTGCAGGTTCCTCACACCAAAGGAACAAGGAAAGAAGTCCATATAAACATATGTCAGCAAATCTTTTGTAAGTCTCTCAATCCACTGACATGTGCTAAGACGTCTACATTTGAAACTTTACAAACTACACCTCGTTCAGGCACTTACCAAAACCTTGCTCTTTTTGCTTGGTCTACAAGATCCCCAGACCTCACAGTGTGTGATTTTTTTTTCTTGTGGAGATATGTAAAAGATCAGGTTTATGCTTCACCATTACCCACTAACGTTGATGACCTTAAACATTGAATAACAACAGCAATCAACTCAGTGGGTCATAAGCTAATACATGTCTGGAAGGAATCCTCTTATTGCATTGATGTTGCCCGTGATGCAGGTGGTGGCCACATTGAACACTCATAAGACAAGAAATAAAAGTTGATTGTGAGTAGAACACTTGTGATTTGGCTGGAGTTTTCTATTGCTTTTCCTTTTTTCTTGTGTGGATTAAAATATTTATAACAAATTGAAATCAACAACAGTTCATTTTTTGAATAATCCTTATTGCATTGATATAATAAAACAATATTGGGTAACAGAATGACAATATTGAAAACTTATGCAACATGTTCCATCTTTTAAAAGCAATTCAGGCTTAACAAACCATTGGAAGATGACTATCTTAAACGAAGAAAAAAAAAAAAAAAAAAAATACAGTTTTAAGTACAGATAACTCTTTAAAAAATTCTGCAATAGATTCCACACTGCATTCATATTAAAAATAGGACCCCACTTCTATCAATATTTTTCAATTCTGACAAATGCAGTGCTTAGAAGATCTAATATATATTAATTTTTTAAAAATCATTTCATACCCCCCAGGAAGGTGATAAAGCCACTAAGCTGCAAGGGCTAACTGAAAGTGAAGGAAATTGACAAAACACTAATGAAGAGAAAGGAAATAAAAATGTACAAGTTTCAGAGGATGATAATGGAAGTTGCATTTAAATTTTTAAAGATCATAGTTGACTTAAATTCAAGAAGCCAGAAGAGTTCCAGTGTGAAAGAAGACACTATTAGAATAGAACTTAGTTAAGTTTAGCAGTTTCAACAATAAAACAATGAAACCTAGCTAGCAGTCTAGTACGACTTAAATTCGTAAAATCAAGGTACCAAACAGGAAAGTTCATTAGAACAATTGCCATGAAAATATTTATCGAAAATGCACAGGGAAGCAAGTGCTATAGCAATGAGAAAGTGATTGAAGCCAAAATGTCAAGTTTAAAAAAAATTTTTTTTTAATAAGCGGACCAGTTAAGCTTTGTAATGTTGATAGAAAGTGTGACACTGAAATCCAAAGGAGCATTGGGATCGGCAAAGATGCCTTCCAAAAGTTAAGCAGAGTATTAGAAAAATTTTTTAGAAACAAAGAAAAGAGTACTGAACTGTTGTGTGAAATCTGCCCTCATATACGACAGTGAATTCTGAACAATCCCAACTTGAAGCAACAGAAATGTGGTTCTACAGAAGGATGCTGAGGAAACCATGGGCCAAACATGTGAGCAACAATGAAGTCTTAGGGAAAGCAAATACAAAAACGGAAACTTTTATTAGGGTACATAATGAGGAAAGAGGGCTTGGAAAATCTGATACTCACAGGACAGATTGAAGGCAAGAGGGACAGAGGAAAACACAATGTACTTAGTGAACTTGAGTAAATGGATGGCAGAAATAATAATTAGAAAAAACAAAAAGACAATTTATTAAGAGCTACAAAGGACAGGAAATTGTGGAGATCCATGACTGCCTATGTCCTGAGAGCACACAGTACATAAAGTGTTGAATATCTTTACAATAATTAATCCACAAGTCAAAACAAAATTTTAACAGCAATGTTTATCTATGCAATTGTAAAATAAATTTGTTTGAAATTGATGACTGCACTAAGCTGAATGACAGTAGAAAAAATGTTATCTTTCAGATGAAAAGTGTGTTGATGACTTTGAAGAGATCTTGACATATTTTTGCATATTGGTATTTAAAGGTTATATATAAACAGAGAAACACTGTACCAATGTTATAAGTAAATATCAGTCAAACTTTGTTTTAAAAATAAACAAAGTAAATAAAGATGAACAATGGAAGTAGTTTAACCTCTGCTCTATATTTAGGATTTCAGAAACCATTCGATTTAATATGAAAATTAGTTTAGTTGTTTTTTATTTTTTTTTTTTTTTTTTTTTATTATTTCACATCAATTAAGACAATAATGCTACTAAAACACCAGAGGTTACTGAGAGTAAAATAGAATGAGAAGACTTTAGTGAGGAGACAGGACGATAAAAGAACAAAATTCAGGAAGACAGAAAATGACTATGCATTTAAATTTTTGAAGATCATCATTGACAAAAAAAGCAAGAAGCTTGAAGAGAGTTTGACAAGCAAGAAGAGCAAGAAACGAAACTAATAGCATAAAACTTCTGGTTACATGTGGCTATTTACTGACAAGACCTAAACGCCAGTTTCAGTGTACGTGTTTGTGGCAGAGAAGGGCCTGGCTGCAGGAGGAAGCAGAGAAGGGCCTGGCTGCAGGAGGAAGCAGAGAAGGGCCTGGCTGCAGGAGGAAGCAGAGAAGGGCCTGGCTGCAGGAGGAAGCAGAGAAGGGCCTGGCTGCAGGAGGAAGCAGAGAAGGGCCTGGCTGCAGGAGGGAAGCAGAGAAGGGCCTGGCTGCAGGAGGAAGCAGAGAAGGGCCTGGCTGCAGGAGGAGAGAAGGGCCTGGCTGCAGGGGAAGCAGAGAAGGCCTGGCTGCAGGAGGAAGCAGAGAAGGGCTGGCTGGGAGGAAGCAGAGAAGGGCCTGGCTGCAGGAGAGGAAGGGCAGAGAAGGGCCTGGCTGCAGGAGGAAGGAGAAGGGCCTGGCTGCAGGAGGAAGCAGAGAAGGGCCTGGCTGCAGGAGGAAGCAGAGAAGGGCTGGCAGGGAGGAAGCAGAGAAGGGCCTGGCTGCAGGAGGAAGCAGAGAAGGGCCTGGCTGCAGGAGGAAGCAGAGAAGGGCCTGGCTGCAGGAGGAAGCAGAGAAGGGCCTGGCTGGGGAGGAGAAGGAAGGGCCTGGCTGCAGGAGGAAGGAAGGAGGAGAGAGAAGGGCCTGGCTGCAGGAGGAAGCAGAGAAGGGCCTGGCTGCAGGAGGAAGCAGAGAAGGGCCTGGCTGGGAGGAAGCAGAGAAGGGCCTGGCTGCAGGAGGAAGCAGAGAAGGCCTGGCTGCAGGAGGAAGCAGAAGGGCCTGGCTGCAGGAGGAAGCAGAGAAGGGCCTGGCTGCAGGAGGAAGCAGAAGGGCCCTGGCTGCAGGAGGAAGCAGAGAAGGCCTGGCTGCAGGAGGAAGCAGAGAAGGGCCTGGCTGCAGGAGGAAGCAGAGAAGGGCCTGGCTGCAGGAGGAAGCAGAGAAGGGCCTGGCTGCAGGAGGAAGCAGAGAAGGGCCTGGCTGCAGGAGGAAGCAGAGAAGGGCCTGGCTGCAGGAGGAAGCAGAGAAGGGCCTGGATGCAGGAGGAAGCAGAGAAGAAACTGGATGCAGGAGGAAGCAGAGAAGAAACTGGATGCAGGAGGAAGCAGAGAAGAAACTGGATGCAGGAGGAAGCAGAGAAGAAACTGGATGCAGGAGGAAGCAGAGAAGAAACTGGATGCAGGAGGAAGCAGAGAAGAAACTGGATGCAGGAAGCAGAGAAGAAACTGGATGCAGGAAGCAGACAGCCTTATGCAGTCTATTTCAGAATTATTATCTAAATGCTTTACTTGCATTATTTACATTATTCAGACTGTTATCCTCATGTTCACTGCCATATTCACAACATTTCGGCCATTGTATGCTCCAGCCTTCTTCAGGTGATTGGAATTTCGAACTGAACCTTTTATTTCATCCACCAGGGTAGATTGTTCTAGTTCCATGTGCCAGACCTCTTCTGGATCTCTCAGTAATTTCCCTTTAAGAAGAAGGCTGGAGTGTACAACAGCCAAAACGTTGTGAATATGACAATAAAGATGAGGATAACAGCCCGAATAAAGTAATAACGCAAGTAATCATAATACCTCGTCTCAGATACAGGAATATCTAAATGTAGTACATACCCCATGTCGGTTTTGAAACGTAAACAGTGTTGCATTTGCCAATAGAGTGGAAGAAATCAGCAGAGAGTCGAATGGCACCAGTACCTCCCAAAGCCTGGACACCTACCACCTACAAAAAAAGAAAAGATAAACATCAAATACTGTCAACAAGATTGTTTACAGAATATTCTGATAATCTGATTCAAAGGGGGGGGGTAACAAAAGATAATAGATAATTGTAAATGTCTTATGGCCATATCACATTGAATCATTGGTTCCCATACAATCACCAAAGTTCAGCAACGGTGATCCGTTACATAGACAAGTGACTGGGAATACCAGGTTCTGTAAGCTTGAATGTGCAGGTAATGCAATTGAAAATGGCTCTGAATTAGAAATCAGGAATCGAACCTGTGTCCTATATGGCACTGTCAATTGAGCTGACATGTTATACCACTCAGTTACAGAGAAAGCATCTGGTTAGAAAAGTCCAATTACTGTTTATAAACAACAAATCTTCAGATCTGTTGGAGAATGCATACTTTCTACAAAGTTTTTAAAACCTTCAGGCTGGTAAATGTAATTAATTACTGTTTATTTAAAAAAAAAAAAAAAAAAAAAAAAAAAAAAAATACAGCATTTAAATAAATTGTAGGACTTAATCCATTTCATATGTTGTCAAAGTTTATATTATGTTTCATGAGCAGATGCAGATATGATCATTCCGGAAAGATTAAAGATTTGTTTCTAAACAGTAATTGAACTTTGCTAACCAGACACTCTCTGTAGCTGAGTGGTATAGCATGTCAGATCACACACATTTTATATAACACACACAGAGGTAATAATTCGTTGGTATATAATCAAAGTGAATCCTAATAATATGAAATATTAAAACTGATCCACAGAGAGAGCTCAATGTATTTATTATAACAGAATATAAATTACAGAATAGAAATTGAAATAGCTATTTGAATGAGGTAAATTTCAATTTCTATGTATATATATATATATATATATATATATATATATATATATATATATAATAAACGTATAATCAATTTACAAATACATGAATTATTCACACAAAACTAATTCAAAGGTTAATGATTTAAATGGCGAGACATCCATCATTTTTAAACAATTCAAAAGTAGTACAAAAACCTCCAGATCCGTTATGAATGAATTGAAATCCTTGTTTATATAAATTTCTGCCGAACAAATTGTTATTTTTTACTAATTTTTTCGTCTGTTTCTGAACATCTTCAAGTATATAATAGATGTTGTTTTATTAACTTTCTCTTAGTAATAAGAGGACATCAAAAATATAAACGTTACATTTTTCCGAAATTTAAAATGAAAATGAGTTATTGGTTTTTAAGCAGCGTCAAAACCAATAACTGATTTTCATTTTAATTTTTTTTTTAAATTTTTGTCCTTTATACTAAAAAAAAAAACAAGAACAAATCTATTTATAGTGAAATTTTTCTGGAACAACGAAAGTTGCAAAAATAACAACTAATCAGAAATTATATAAACAAGGATCAATTCATTCATAACGGATCTGGAGGTTTTGTACTATTTGAATTGTTTATAAATGATGGATGTCTCGCCATTTAAATCATTAACCTTGAATTAGTTTTCAAAATAATAATAATATATATATATATATATATATATATATATATATATATATATATATATATGTGTGTGTGGTATAGTTTAATTCAAGCGTTTCATTGAATATAGACATATTATGCCTATTTATTTTTATACTGATTCTTCCCAGCTGTCTAATCAGTTTCTTGATGTTAAGATGTAATTCAACAAGGAAGGCACCATAGTTTTTCCTACCCAAGTACTTTCAATCTCCAAGATCATCCACAGAGAAGAATTACAATGCCAAACTTATTCTAACTGATAAAATCTGTATCTTCTTGTAAATGGTGATTTTTAAAAAACACATGAGAATGAAGTCTGTTATAACTATTTTTAACTTTAAATTATTAATTAATTAATTATAACAAAGGGCAACTGATTAGAGAACCAGAAAGGATCATTATAAAAATAGACATATGTCCATATTATTCAATGAAACACGTGCACACACACACTATATATATATATATATATATATATATATATATATATATATATATCGTATGTTTAAAATTTCAGATGTAACTAAAAATATGTAATTTGTTTTTAGCATTAATGTCCCTTAAGTCCCTCAAAGAATGAAACAAGCTGGCTAAGATAAGATTTCCTGTTGTCTTTATTCATGTATGAGGTTAGGATGAGGTCTCAAGCCTTGAGTGGCAACCTTTCCTAGAGATGGTAACTTGCTAAAAGCTTTGTACTTGTGTAAATATATAATGTGACCCTCGACCAAGCTTGCCAATGACCACTCCCACATTTCAATTCTCAATCTCATCTTCTCTAAAAGATGGAGAACAGTGTGCAGTAGGTCTACAAAGTAACAGTGAAAGAAAAGCCAAAAAGAAATAATGCAAATCTCGTTTTTTTTTTTATATTATATGTAACGGGTTTATTCAGGACTGTCCCGGTGAATAGATACGTAGGTGACCCTAGGGACAATTTCTGTTTTGTCAGCTCTTCCTCCTACCAACTTCTCACCCATCTACTCATTCCAACATGGTGGCTGGCAATACTAAATGGAGGCCTTGAAATCATGACACAGACAAGTCCATCCCCTGCCAACAGTGAACCAGCCCCCACCCCTACACACAATCCCAAGCAAGACTTAATATAGACCAGCACCTGGATATACCCTATTTCCGACTTTGTTGGGTGCCAGGAAGAACATCCAGCCTTGTAAAACCCTGCCTCAAATCATCATGACAAATCCTTTGTCAGGCAGGACTCATCTTGCTTTGTGCAAGATTAATCTAGGTCCTGCTGCTAAATTTAAGTCATTTAATCTTCATTTTGTTTTTTGTTTTTTTTTTGGGGGGGGTCTATATGCCCTGTCCCCTCAGGACATGGGTGATCAATGCTCTACACAATTTCCTGCCATATGTTGCTCTTAGGAAATTTTCTTTTGCTATTTTTCCTAAACCCTCTTCTGCTCTTCATTTACACAATCTTATTAGGTAGATGATGCATGGCTTTCCTTCATCCATTGTGCCATCACTACATCCCATGAGTGTCAAATTTTCTAATCCTTCTTTCGCCTGTAACAGAGTTTGGGGAACACACACACACATTTTTCTTTTTTTATTGAAATTGGAGTGAATCTGGGTAGCGAAATTAGATCAGTGAAATTTTGTTTACTGATAGGAAATCTGATCTAGCCCATTAGAAAAACGATGGAAAATGATCGAAATAATTTTTATCAGTTAAAATTTGAAAGAGCTTACTAAAGCTATGAGGAATTTGAAATTCACATGATTTTGGGTTGAAAGCGGCACCTGTGATAATCGCATGCGGGTCAAGGGTCGATTTATGATCAGCCAGGTTTATCTCTATAAACACGCACAGAAATCTATTGACAAAGTGGTTGGCTCATCTGCCGTCAAGTGCAGTCATGCTGGGTGGGGAGAGGTCAGAGATTGGAACCAAACACCCGCTAACATATTTTGTTGATCTAAGTATGGAGAAGAGAATTACTCCAACATCTAAGACTGCTACTATTATTACTACCACTGGAAACATCACACAAGCTACAATAATCGGAGTGGTTGGCTCGTCTGCTGTCGACTGGGTGGAGAGAGATTGGAGATTGAAAGACATCGAAGATTGAAAGTGAAGTCAGAGATTGGAACAAAACCCCCGCTAACATGTACTGTTAATATAAGTACCACTGCTTCTGCTACCACGAATATTACTACTACTGTTACTACTGCTAAGGAGGAACGCCACTATAAACTAAGCCGTACACAGAAACCTTATTCCCCCATCGCAAGAGTCATATATCGTTCAGAGACGATTTAACAAGTTAACCATAACACACTATGTCCAGAATCCAATGTATGTGTTTTTATATCAATTACTTTTCTTTTCTGTAACCTGTTTCTTTTCTCTATTCTTTTCTGCTATACAAAAGACATTAACAATTCAATCATTGAATACTTGTTTGTCTGGCTTTCTGCAGATGTTAATTTTTTTTTTTTTTTTGCATTCTAAATTTCTTAGCACAGACTCTCCAGCCGTGTCTACATCTTCAGTCAACAGTAAATGAATGTACATCACTTCTGCTTTCTGGATCAAACCAAACAACGTGGGCAGGAAGTAGAATAAACCAGTGGACCAGTCAAAATTCCCTTAAGTTTGGTTAAGACCGAGTAGACACCTCAGCCCAGAGAGTAAGATGTTGGAGGTGGAGGGGCTGGGGTGAAAGTGTTAAACATCATTACTCATATGTTCAGTCCATGGTATGCTCAGCATCCTTCTGTAGTACAACATTTGTTGCCTCAAGTCTCTTCATCAGAGGGGATTGTTCAGTATTTACTGCCATATAGTAGGACTGAAGGATTGATTTGTGTTTCGTTTTTCAGTTTATCAAATTTGTGCAGATTTAGCACCAGAAAATATATTTTTAAATTGCAAGAATTTTTTTTGTGAGATACAATAATTACCAACACAAGTTTTACTAAGAAACTAATAACTGGAGAGAAAAGGTGGATTCATGCCTTTCCCAGTAAGTGAATATAGCAAACCTGATTCAATTCTAAGCTGTTATCCGTTATACTACTTGTACATTAAAGTTTACAGCACCTGATATTCGGAAGTGAACAAGATGATTAATATGTAACAGCTAAGGGTTCTTTTTTGTTTGAAGTGTTAATGTCAACAGCTATTGATGAAAATAATATTCATTTTGAGAAACCGGTTGCTTTTAGAATAAATGTAATGACATTTTTTCTAAATGAAAGCGGACGGGGAGAAGAGAAGAAAGCAGAGAAGAGAAGAAAGCAGAGAAGAGAAGAAAGCAGAGAAGAGAAGAAAGCAGAGAAGAGAAGAAAGCAGAGAAGAGAAGAAAGCAGAGAAGAGAAGAACGAGTTGAGCAAAAAAATTGAAAAGAAAAAAATGAAACTATTTTCCTACTGTTCCTGGTAAAAGATTAATCCAATTTTAAATCTGGTACAACGTCACAAGTATGGGGCACACAGTGAGAAACAAACTCACTCCTTAGGAACTACAAGCTCAGCTTGCTAATCATTTCCCAATGTGTTGCCTTGACCAATGTTAATTTGTTTATAAAACCACTTCCTAGGAAAACCTGAATTTAGCAAACGGTCACAAAGACATTAAAATTTGGTTACAATGGGAAATTTAAACTGAAAAACAAAAAGACAAGAGAAGGAAGACAAAAAGACGAGATATTTTCCCTGTTAATGTAGAAGGGAAGAAGGGGCCATTGCCCCCTACGAATTGGAACAATGTACTAAGAGTTTACATTTTTTATTATCTATCAAAAAATCTGGCAAACAAGAGTGAGAGAACAAACAAACAAAAAAAAAAAAAGAGTCAGAGAGAAGAAGAAGAAAAAAAAAAGAGTCAGAGAGAAGAAGAAAAAAAAAAAAAAAAAAAAAAAAGAGTCAGAGAGAAGAAGAAAAAAAAAAAAAAAAAAAAAAGAAAAAAAAAAAGAGAGAGAAGAAGAAAAAAAAAAAAAAAAAAGAAGAAGAAGAAGAAAAAAGAAAAAAAAAAGAAAAAAAAGAGTCAGAGAGAAGAAGAAGAAAAAAAAAAAAAAAAGAGAAGAAGAAGAAGAAGAAAAAAAAAAAGAGAAGAAAAAAAAAAAAAAAAAAAGTCAGAGAGAAGAAAAAAAAAAAAAAAAAAAAAAAAAAAAAAAAAAAAAAAAGAGTCAGAAGAAGAAAAAAAAAAAAAAAAAGAGAAGAAAAAAAAAAAGAAAAAAGAAAAAAAGAGAAGAAGAAAAAAAAAAAGAGTCAGAGAAAAAAAGAAAAAAAAAAAAAAAAGAGAGAAGAAAAAAAAAAAAAGAGTCAGAAGAAAAAAAAAAGTCAAAAAAAAAAAAAGAGTCAGAAGAAAAAAAAAAAAAAAAAAAAGAGTCAGAGAAGAAAAAAAAAAAGTCAGAAAGAAGAAGAAAAAAAAAAGAGTCAGAAGAAAAAAAAGAGTCAGAAGAAAAAAAAGAGTCAGAAGAAAAAAAAGAGTCAGAAGAAAAAAAAAAAAAGAGTCAGAGAGAAGAAAAAAAAAAAAAGTCAGAAAAAAAAAAAAAAAAAAAAAAAAAAAGAAAAAGAAGAAAAAAAAGAGTCAGAAGAAAAAAAAGAATGAGGAGAGCAAGATAACCCCCCCCCTCACTTTTTTAATAAAATGAAAGTATTTGATAAATATATAGAGATAAAATTAAAAAAAGCATAAAAGCAAATAGCTCACATTGAGAAAGGTCAAATATTTTATTTATTCTAACGAAACAAATAAAATAGATCATCTGTATTACAATAACAACTGACTCAGTCGGCAAAAATGTCTTCAAAAGTGGGGCAAAGAATGAATAAAAATGTCTCAAAATTATTAACCCCAAACTATAATGGGTTAGTGATTCAAATAGATGGGAGGAGAAGTGGATTCATACCTCTCAAAAATAATGGTTTAGTGTTGCAAATAAATGGGAGGTGAAGTGGATTCATACCTTTCCCAAGACTTTTTTTTACATAAATTAATATAATGAACCCAACTGGAATTGGAACTCGGCTCTCCAATTAACAATTCCAAGTCACTATCCGTTACACCACCTGGTATTCCCTTGAGGTCATCCATCCAGGTACTGGCAAGACTTAACATTGCTTAACTTTGGTGATATAGAAAAAAATGTAAGTGAACATAAATATCAAATGTTAATTATACATAAGCATAATAGTCACGTTTTTGCTTACAGATGAATGATTTAATATAAATCAACTCTAGAACCTTAAAGTGCGTATCAGAATGAACCTTCCTCAGTATCAAGAATACATCTTGTTATAGAACCATTTATATATATATTTCTCCAAATCCTTAAACTACACAACCAAACCAAGGCATTTTTAGCATCACTTGACAAAGAAAATTTATTTACAAATGTCCCTGACTCAATATCAGGGTCATTTGTAAATAAATTTAATATAATCCTTTGTGTATAAAATTAATTTGGTTTCACCTTCATCCATCAAACCTAATATTCTCAAAAAGTTATTGTATGTCTGCACAGCTAAGATCCACTATGATCATAATGGCAATATTTACACTGAAAATAATGGTGCTAGTATACAAAATTCACTCAGTACGTGCTTCTTTAATCACTACATGTCCCATGTAGAAAACAAGGTATTTAAAAAAAGTTACTAAACCCAAAATATGTCTGATATGTAGATATTTTTATTTTAGCCGAAAACAAAAACGAAATCCAAATTTGGAAAAAAAAAAAAAAGTCCTTAACTTTACCTATGAATTTAGTTATAAAAAACAAAACAAAAAAAAACTTCCATTTTTAGACATTATCATAGCAGCAGTAACACATTCATTACTTTGTTATAAAAAAAAAAAAAAAAAAAAACACACGAATAGAAATTCTTGCCATCTTAATTTTAAGAGTGAATGTACAGTTAAAAATAAACATTATAAAAAATTTCCTCAAGAGTGTCTGAGAATTTATTCTCTCATCCCCTTAAAGAACTCAATGTAAAACAGACTAGTTAATAAGTTTTCTGAACTACCTCATCGATCAACAGATTTGACTATTTCTTTCTATAGTAACTAATAACAATACAGAACATAGATAAAAATAACATTAACATTTTATATAAAAGCCAAATACACATTAACTAAAAGCAAGATGAACAAAGAAATACACAACCCCAGTCAACCAGAACAAAAAAAATTATCTACTATAAAAAATTTATAAACAGCTAACATCATCAACAATAGCACTCACAGTATATAAATGAGAGAACCAATATTATTTATGGTTTCTGATCAAACCATAAATAATTACATTGGACATACCACTACATGCCTATCAAGACTCACATTACACTTCTAGGCCAAAGCACAATTAAGATTCATTTAAAACACACATGGAAATCTACTAAACCCCATGGTGACATACTTAAATACAAATTTAAGAAAAATAAAAAATAATGAAAGCACTAATAATAAAAAAGAAAAAGCCAACACTCAATAACATCAACCGTACTTCCATTATTTTTAGGTTCCCCCCCTGATAGGCCAAACATATATATATATATATATATATATATATATATATATATATATATATATAAGCTGCATAATACATTTTAAAGGCATCAAGGTTGGTCTTCAGTTATGCACTGTCCTCATCGCTGATTTCGGGTTTTGTATCATATCACCTCCAACAGCAACCCTGACCTGATTCAAGACAAGTCAGGCCACCTCCTTGAAAGGTGTTATGCTATGCACCATGACAAAGCAAAAAAAAAAAAAAAATTCCAACTTGGCTCGGATTTCAACTGTTCTTATTGACATATGTCAATCATCATCGGACAATGAAAAACAATAGCTTTTCACGCTCCCCACTTATATATATGTATGTATGTATGTCTAAGTTCAAAACAAGAATATCAAATTTTAATAAAAGATATATAATTACAAAAATAGTGTATTATTGACAGTAAAAATAAAGAAATTATACGTACGCCAAATAAAATGAGTTTAATGTGATTATTTAAAGAACATGACAAGTTCTTAGATTATCAATTTGGCTTTGTAGCATAATTAAAAAAAAAAAAAAAAAAAAAAATACCCCTATCCCCCATCACAGCTTATTCTTTGTTCAATTTCTTTCTCTCCTATACTAGGATTTGTTGGGCAAGTTTAAAACCCTTCTTCTATTAAAACATACAAAAGATGATAAGACATCAATAGCAGAGTAAAGAAGGTATTACTTACTCGATTCTCAATTATGGCAGGGTGTCCTTCTCCCAACAATAATTTAAGAGAGGCAAAACGAAAGTCAGGGAGGCCCAGAATTGGTAGATACTCATGGTTGAGCATCATATCTGAAGCCATTTTTGCCTCTACACTCCGTACTACTGGTAGCACCCATGGGTTTCCTTCATCTGTACGGTATGCTGAAACAAACAAAATAAAATCAGTGAACAAATACATGTGACACTATGATGGTGGGAGGACACCTATGTAGAAGCAGAAAGTGTGATTTTATCTTTAACTCTAGTGCTTTTGTTTTATGGCCAGCAGATGAGCTCTTTGAAGTTGGACCTTCTAAGTTGTACCCACTTGATTGAAGAGTAACCAGAGAATGAATGGATGAAAGAAATCATTTTAGGTCAAGTGACAACAAACTGGACATTGATGATTTCCGGTTGCTGATCTATATTAACTGTTTTGTTTTTTTTTTGTTTAAAAAAAAAAAAAAAAAAATCACCTGTAGAATGAGTATCTGTAACAATTTTTGACAAATGGTGACCTCATGACCCCAATTAGATATGAACTCACAATCTTGCTACATTTGTCAACTTTCCATTATATTTTATAAAGCTGAGAAGTACAAAGGCCAACACCATGAAAGAGCAGAGAAAAAAAAATTCTTTTGTGTTCCATATCCCTTCAGGAAGTGAGTGATCATGGCCCTCCACAACTTCCTATTTATAGCTTTTAAGATTTCTCTTTTCACTATCCTTCCCAGTCTCTCTTCTGCCTTCCCTTTACACAAGCTTGTTAGGTAGGTTGATCATTGCTCTCCACAACTTCCTATCCTTTGTAGCTCTTAGCAATGTTTGTCTTTTCACCATCCTTCCCAGTCCTTCTTCTGCCATCTATTTGCACAATCTTATTAGGTAGATTACTTGCTGTTTCCCCTCTGTCAGTCTTGCCTTCAATATATACTGTGAGTGTCAAGTTCTCTAAACCCTCTTTTCTCATTATGCATTCAATAGATTTCAACTGTTTCTTTCTGCTTCTGTCTTATTCCGTTTCCATTTACCCAAGGTCATTAAGTAGCTAACTCATTTCCGTCTATCCCTCAATGTGTCCTTTTAGTGTCAAATTCTCCAAACCCATTTTCCTCATTATGTGTCCTTGAAATTTCAGCATCTTTTCTGCTGCTATTTTACTTAAAATGTCCTCATTACCCACAAGTTCAGTACATCAAATCTTCAGCATTCATCTGTAGAACAATATTTCTGTTGCCTAAAGTCTTATTTCGTAGTTTTCTTTGATAATGTAGCACCAGTCCACAAGGTTAGAAGAAAGCTTGTCCTCACTAAAGGCCTACAGAATTTGTGCACTTGAAACCATTTTTAATCATTTGACTGAGAAAATGGTTGTACATAGCCGAGAGTTTAGATATTTGTCAACGAGTGATTCCATGCAGGACATCCATATAAAAGTTGCGATCTGACAAGGCTATTTAAGAATGTGACAAATTTTTAGGTCAATGTTTTGGTTTTGTAACAATTTGCAGTGTTTGGTGAAACTCCACAATACAACATTACTATATTGACAACAAGCTCTCACCATTTTAATATTGAAATGGTTAGATGCAACTATATGCGTCCATACTTAGAATATTGCTGGCACATATAGTCTGGCACCCCAGCTATTTACCTTGAACTCCTTGAAAAATCCAAAGAAGAATCAGCAATATTATTGATCCTACTTGGCATCTTGGCTTCAGTCACTTTCTTACTGCTGGAAGGTTTGCCCCTCTGTGTCTTTTCTATAAATACTTTTATGGTAATTGTTTGAATGAGATCTTTACTATGGTACTTAGACATTTTGAATTTAACTGCAATACTAGACTAGCATCAGCATCTCATCAATTTACAGTTGAGCTGGTTAGATGTAGCCATAACTTCTATACTAAGTTTTTCTCACACTTCTCACTTGTGGAACTCCCTTCCCCTTCCAGCTGCATGCTTTCCAACCAACTTTAATCTGCAAAAAAGTAAATGCAATGTCAATCACTATGTACTGTCCACCTGATTACTCTCTTCTTTCTGCTCAGAATTAATGTTTCTGTTCCTAATTCTTCCACACAGTAACCCATATCTTAGTGGATTTATTGCCTTGTAGGGAGCAATATAAATAAAAAAATAAAAAAATAAAAAAATAAAAAAAACCTTAAATGTCCTATTCTAATAATTTCTTTTCTTTAATTTCTCACCTGTGGAACTCCTTTCAAATTTCTTACTTCCCTGTCACCTACACACTTCAAAAATTTCAATGCAATGTTAATTGCCATCTGTCTTCCTGAACCCTGCTCTTTTATTGTCCTTTATCCTCACTAGAGTGTTCTCATTCTTTTTCACTCCCACTGGCATTATCACTAAGACCAATATTAAAATAAGAGGAAAGAAAAATGTTTTAATTATTTCACCAATCAAGGCAATAAAGCCACTAAGATGCAAGGGGTTGCAGAGTGTCAGAGAATGAGAAATAGAAAACATTAACAATAAAAGAAAAATTAAAACAGAAGATAATAATTGACATTGCATTTAAGTTTTTGAAGATCAAAATTGACTGGAAAGTAAGAAGCCAGAAGAGAGTTCCACAAGAAAGACAAAAAAAAGGTTAGCATAAAACTTATGGTTACGTCTAACTAGTTCCACTGTAAAATGAGAACTTGCTGCCAATCTAGTATGGCGCTTAGATTCATAGAGCCTGGGTACTAAAGAAGAAAGCTTATCAGAATAATCAACATGAAAATATTTATACAAAAAAGGCACAAGGAAACTATGTTAAAGTGTTGGCAAAGTGATTGAAGCCAAGATATCAGATCAGGACCAATAATATTGCAGATTCTTTGGATTTTATCAAGAACTAGCAGTAGAGCCCGGCGTTGCCCGGGGATGTAACAGTAAGAGATAGATCAAGTATCGACCATCATAAAGACTGAAAAATAAAATTGATAAAGATTATTGTTTAAGGTTGACAGACACGCATGTCTTAATTAGTTTTCTTTTTTTTTTACAAATTGGTCAAACCCAAACAAAAACATTGTTTTCAATCATTATGAGTCTACCGATTGAATAGAATTTTATTATAAACAATTGTCTTGTAAATGGAATTTTTAAACCATTCTGAATGTAAAGATAAAGAAAAAAGTGTGCAAGACAATAAGAAACACTATCTGCCAAAAACAAGTGAAGTTTTGTTGAAATCTGTTGAAAAATGTAGGAAATCCGATCCCATATATATATATATATATATATATATATATATATACGAACACACACACACAAACAACCTGGGTTTTATATAAGTATAACTCGATATGAGTTGTCCCCCTTTCATTCTCATCATAGCGATGTCTCTTAATCGTGTTTTCAAATTGAGTTTTTCCAATTTTTGGCGCTGTTAGAACCACCACAAGGTAATTTTACGTAGTCCTGTGAAGTTTTGTTTAAATCGGTTGAAAAATATAGGAAATCCGATCCAATATATAAACGAACAGACACACACACAACCTGCGTTTTATAAGTATGATCTCTAAATACATAGAAGAAACACCAGACCAGATAAGACAGCAATATTCAATTCATGGATGAATGGTAGACTTAATATATAAGGCAGCTTCTGGAGAGGAAAATTGTCCAGCATAACACAGTGAACTAACGTTCCTTACAGCAGACCTAGCATTTGATTCAATATAATCTTTTCACTTCATATCAGAAGACATTAGCCCACAAATATATAAAGCAACTTGAAGTAGTTAACGAAGAGGCTTAACAACGTTACAAATGTCACTTGGTGACAGGATATAAGAACACAAGTAAAAGGTCATCTGTTATCAACAACATAATCAGAAGCAATTTGTTCTTATTTATGGCCAACAGCTGCAAACATACAACACCATCCTCAGCCATCTTTCCACCGACCGACCAATGACTACTCCAACATTGGGTCACCAAAACCTGGGAAAGGCCTGCTACATGTTCACAAGACAACAAAAATATTAAAACACCATGTCAAGAAATAACTCAAACCTATTTGCAATTTCCAAAATTGCAAATAGGTTTTCTTCAGGGCTTCACTTGCTTGGTCTAGGTGGGTAGGTAACTCCTGGGGACAATTTCTGCTGGATTGGATTAACAGTTCATCTCTTTCCAACTTTTTGGTCATTATGACATGCAGCCAGTTATACGAATGGGCAGCATTGAAACTACCAGAGGAACAGTGTCTCCTGCTGAGGGTGGACTAGAGAGGACTTCCTTAATGGTGATAGTTAATACAGATTGGTGTGTCTACTTGCATTTATATCTTGGTCAGCCTATGAACTTTCCAGCCAACCCTCGTATATATACTAGAGTAGGGGGGGGGGGCGGTAAAAAAAAAAAAACAGAACAAAAATCAGGATTTTTTGCTACTAAAAAAAATAAAATATTCTGGCAGGAAAATTCTGAGCAGGAACTCAACAGAATTATTATTTTGCATAAACTTGCAATATGCAGCAAAGTCAGTTACTTACACACAAGTGCTACAACCTATATTGCTGCAATGTCATTCTATAAATAACATGTGGTATTTTCTAGTAGTGCCCAAACAGCATGACCACATTCACATTAACCTCACCAAACCAGTCACTGCAGGGAAAATACCCATGTGCGATATTAGCATACAAAATAGTGTGTCATGCACCATCAAGGGTAGTAAAAATAAAAGTTGTTGTTTGTTTAGTAATTAAATTTTTAAGTATCGGTTTGATCATCTTTCTCTTGTTCTCTGTTCTTGTAACAGCATTCACCCGAGGTGGGTTGAGCCGGCTCCAATATTGGAGTTTCATGAGAATTTGGAATTCACAAGCGGTCCCCAACCCGCATGTATAGCACATGAGATTTGATTATAGTGGTGAAGGTTTCGTGCAGGACCATCCACACATTTTGAAGGGCCGATTACAGAGACCTGGTGCACTACATGCCACAAGGTCCCCAAACAACCCTCTGCAGGTTTTGAATTCTGATTTGTCCTTCTCCTAGACCAGTTGCCATCCAAGGCTATAGAATCCAGTCTGTCCTGCTATTTACCCATAGCAGGAGGGAAAAGAGGATTCATACCTTTCCCAAGGGTATCAGCACGTAAGTCAATGTAATGAATGGAATTAGAACTCGGC